CCCCCCCATTCCCTGCTCACCCCGGCTGTGGGAGAAGCCGTGGGCCGTCACCTTCCACTGGAGCAGGACGGCCATGACGCTGAGGGCCGGCCATGCCCCCAGCATCACCCAGCTCTGCCAGCACAGGGGCCCGGCCGGCGCCAGCTGCAGCCTCCGGGAGACGTAGAGCACCAGCGCCAGCGCCTCCAGCCAGTAATCGGCACAGACCACCACGGCGGCGGCGCCGAAGACGCCGGTGGCGAGGACGGTGAGGGCTTTGGGCCACTGCAGGGCCAGGAGGGCGCAGAGCAGGGCCAGGCCCAACAAACTGCCCGCCGGCACCCAGGGGCTGGGCGGAGGAGCCGCCGGCGGCACCGTCACCAGAGCGGCGGTGGCCAGGAGCAGCCCCAGCAGCAGCCCCGTGGTGAAGAGCCCCACGCTGCGCAGCAGGAGGGTGACCAGGCCGCAGAGCAGCCCGATGGCCAGGGCGATGCCGGCGCTGGCCTCCAGGCTCAGCTGAGTCTCCAGCACCCGCTCCTTGTAGCACAGGAGGAAGATGACGGCGGAGCCGAAGAGCAGCCCCGACAGGAACATGATGGCCTTGAAGCAGCGGTAGCCTGGGGCGGGCCGGGGGGGGGTCAGAGGGGGATGCCACGGCTGCGCCCCACAGTTCTGCCCCATGGCTGCACCCCATAGTGTCCCCCCTGGCTGGGGATGTCCCCAGGGGCTGCCACGGCCATGCCCCACAGCTGCACCCCACGGCTACGCCCCACAGCTGCACCCCACGGCTGCGCCCCACGGCTGTGCCCCATGGCTGCGCCCCACTATGTCCCCCCTGGCCGGGGGGGGTCAGCGGGGGCTGCCCCACGGCTGTGCCCCACGGCCGGGGATGTCACCATAGCTGTGCCCCATGGCTGCGCCCCATGGTGTCCCCCCCGGCCGGGGATGTCACCATGGCTGTGCCCCACGGCTGTGCCCCATGGCTGCCCCCTACAGTGTCCCCCCTGGCCGGGGGGTGTCAGCGGGGGCTGCCCCACGGCTGTGCCCCACAGCTGCACCCTACAGTGTCCCCCCTGGCCGGGGGGTGTCAGCAGGGGCTGCCCCACGGCTGCGCCCCACGGCTGCGCCCCACGGTGTCCCCCCTGGCTGGGGATGTCCCCAGGGGCTGCCACGGCCCTGCCCCACAGCTGCACCCCACGGCCATGCCCCACGGCCTCCCTTCTGGCCAGGGTATCACCGGGGGCTGCCCCCCAGCGAGCCCCCCAGCGGTGCCCCCCACAGCACCCCCTCTCTCCA